TTGTAGTCTTATTTTGTCTTTCCCTTCTTTTTTATTTTTATTTTTCTTTTTATTTTTTGTTTTATTTCCTTGTTTTTGTTTTTTGTTTTTTGTTTTTTGAGCGGTGCGGCTTTCAGTACACATCCGGATTTTTTCTCTCTGTTTTCGCTGCTTCGTTACTACGCGCAGCCACATCTTCTGTAACCGCAAGTTGCGTGTCTGCGTCTCTCTCTCTCCCTCTCACTCTGTGTGTGTATTGCAGCCTAGCTGCTGTTTTCCGCGTTTTTAGCTACTGGTGGCTTTTTGACTTTCTTTCTTTCTTTCTTTCCCTCCCTTGCGTTCATCGCCTGCCTGTAATGTGCGAGGGTCCATTCGTGCGAATGTGCTCTGGAGACGCCAGGGAGAAACAAAAAACTTGTCGGTGTTGAAGGAGCAAACACCTTGCAGAGAACGAGGAGCGGAGGCGGTGCTCATGTCGACCTCGTCACTGGCACTGTTGCTGCTGTTATTAGCGCTAGGGGGGGCACCCCACGCCGCGGCGGAATTTCTGGGGTGTAATTACAGCCTTTTCTTTGAGCCCTCCATGACCTCGCTGGCGATTAAAAAGTTTTACAGCAACACGGGAGGCCGCGAGCGGTGGCCCAAACAGTTTACGCGGGGCTGGGAAACAGATGAGCCGTGTGCGTGGGACAATGACGAGAGGGCCCATCCCGCACCTGCCGGACTTCGCTGTGTGAATGGAAGTGGACACCTTTTTCCGCCGGTATCTGATGGGGGTCTTCTGTTTCTGGAGCACTATAGCGGTGAAGCAGAGGGCGAAATACCACGGGAATTCAAGGCCTTTCAGATGACGAGCTTCATTGGTCTTTCCTTCAACAAATTGAACGGAACAATATGGGACACGAGCTATCATTGCTTCATGCAGAAATTGGACTTGGCGCACAATCGCCTCAGTGGTTCGCTTCCGTATGACTTCATGGCGCGGAACATCCACGTCGAGATTATTAATTTGGCATACAACGAGTTTAGTGGGGCGTTGCCGAGATCGTTGTCGACACTGAAAAGCCTTGTGGTGCTGCTCCTGGAACATAACCGCTTTTCGGGTGAAATACCGGATTTGTTTTTGCTGCAGAGGCTGCGCCACATTTCACTCGGGCACAACAACTTCTCCGGCCGCCTGGGCCCATGGGTTGCACAGATGGCGAACTTGGGGTGGTTGGAGCTGCAGCACAATCGCCTGGAAGGGCCTCTTCCGGAGCTGCCAGCGAAAATCACTCGCGTGGATTTTGCTGGTAACAACTTCTCAGGCAGTGTCCCGGAGAGTTACGGCGAACTTGCTTACATGAGGCACTTCAACTGTACCGGTTGCAGCTTAACCTGCCCGCGGTACAATCTTCTCAGTCATCTTCGCTACTCGTCGCACTGCAAAGAAAACTAAAGGAGCAAAAGTGAAGACGCGTGCCGCAATGTGTGATGAAAGCATTCTGGTCTTTTTCTTTGGTGTGAGGGTGTTTGTTGGTCTTTCTGCCTTCCTGTGAACACGCACTTTTGCTCCCTGTGTGGGAAGTAAAAAGGTGTGGCCCGCTCAGTGTGCGTAAATTATAATTGGCGCCGTGAGTAGCGCTGCCTTGGCCTTACTCCCAAACCGTAAGAAGGAACCATCAAACGACCGGACGGCACTATCGTGAGCCGTGTTGTACTACCAACACTCTCAATGGAGAGTGCTCCTTGGCATCTTTTTCTCTACAGGTGTGTGTGTGTCCCGCCTGAGCCACAGTCCCTCCATGTGTTTCTTTTTCTTTTTTTTTTTGGGGGGGGGTTTATCTTCTTCTTTTTCTCTTGCTAGAGGAACTCGCCTAGATTTAGATAGCGATGGACGCGAACGTTCCGGCAGCATTCCTCGTGAGCCTCGTCGGCAGTACGGTGCACGTGAAGAGCAAGTGGGGCCCCGTCTACGTCGGGACGTTGGTCAGCTGCGACCCCTACATGAACCTTCAGCTGCGGGACACGGTGGAGAAGGCGAAGCAAGAAACCGAACTTGGCGAGATGCTGCTGCGGTGCAACAATGTGCTGTACATCCGTGAGGTGCCACGAGAGTAGGTTGTCGTGGCGTTGAGAACAGGAAAGGCGGCAAAAAGAAGAGAAGGGAAAAGGCAAAATACATAATCCTCCCAAGTTGGTCTTCTCCTTACTTGGACGAGACAGTTGGGACAGTTAACAGGAAGGGAATCACACAGACGCTTTCCCTCCCCTCTCCGTGCCAAAGTGAGAGTAGGGGCATAAATGGAAATCAACAAACGACGTCATAACTCCCCATGCCAATAAGTTTCTGTTAATCGCATGTCTTTTCCTGTTTTTTCTTTTCTTTCCCTTTGATTTTGGTTTTGTTTCCTTCTGAATTGGTGTTGTTTGGCTCGCCTCTCGTTTCGCTGTGCCTCTGTGTGTTGACGCGCTGCGGGAATTCAGACCAATAACGCCCCTACGAGCGCTAATCCAAGGAAACAAACGACACAAGGCTAATCGCAAAAGGCAAGAAATGGCGCACATCCCAACTAAGTGGGCTGAACGTAAGGACAAGCTTTATGTCACGCTGCAAGTGGCTGGTGCCACGGACGTCGAAGTGAAGTTCACCGAGAACACGATCAGCATTACCGGGAAGGGCATCACGCCTAAGGCCCCTGAGCCACACGAGTTAAATGACCAGATTACTCTACTTAAGGAGATTGTCCCAGAAAAGTCCACATTCAAGGTATTGGGCGTTGCAATTCAGGTGTGTGCGACTAAAAAGGAGGAGGGGTACTGGAACAAGCTTGTGAACCAGTCAAGCAGCAGCACCGCGAATTGGCTTTCAGTGGACTGGAACCTTTGGAAGGACGAAGACGAGGAGGACGATGTCCCCGCTGGCTTCGGTGATTATGGTGACCTTTCAAACATGATGAACATGGGAGGACTGGGCGGCATGGAAGGACTGGGCGGCGTGGGCGGCGCGGAAGACGCGGAAGACTCGGACGACGAAGAGGGTGATGGCGCGGCTCAGGCCCCTGCAGCCGACCTGAAGGATCTGGACAGCAAGTAGGGGTCGTTACGTTTCGTAGAAGAAGAATTTAAAGGGAGGTACACAGAAAAGCAAGGAAGGAAGGTAAAGAGAGAAATCATTTGGTTGGCACAGCGTGAAAGGGAGGGGAGATAGAGACAGAGACAGAGATGAGAGGTTTTGGCCAGGGTTGAGAATGCCGGAAAAGAGCAAACATAAAAAATAAAATTCTTGCCAAGGCAGCAAGCTCAGAAAATCAAGACCCATTGGTAGGTGGTGGAGGCTCTACTTCCTCCCTTCACACCCCGTCAACTCTTCGCCCTCATTCTGTTTTCCCAAAAATATTATTAATTTATTATTCATATTCATTTTTTTTATTACTCCGTTGGTAAATATATTAAGCAGAGCTGAAGCAAAAGAAAAAAAAACATGCGTGCATGTAAGTGGCTCTGTGTGAGGGAAGGAAGCCGTGGTTAGCTGTGCCTTTGCTGACTAGACTTCTCTGTGGGATTTTTTTAATTTGCCCCTTCCTTTTCCCCCTCCGCACTGTCGTGTTTCTTGACTCCTTTTCTTGTTATTCCCTCATTTCTGCAGGCGCTGAAGGAGAAGCGAACAGCTAAGGAAGGGGCAACGAGAGAGAGAGAGAGAGAGAGAGAGAGAGGAGG